TGTTAGACTAGCGTTAAATTAGGATGATCTTATGATGAGAAGGAATAAAGTTTTATTCTTTTTAGTCAAACCTTGTTAATGACATACACAATTTCATGTGATTTAAGGGACAAAAATAGTTCTATAATATAAACAGTGAAGTGGTTGCTCAGTCAGTTAATGTTATGATTAAAGCCAATTTATGTGCACTTTAGCTGGATAAATACTGGTAGGTACATTTGTTGTAAACATCACTGCCCATATTAGTCCTATGGCATGGTTTCAAGACAACAATCCACTAAAGGGCAGTGCAGAGTTCAGAGTTCATGTCATAGTGAGGTTAGTTCCAGACAATAGTAAATTTGGCAACATTAGTGGAGGAAATCATGATGATCCACATTCTCAGACCAGTAGATGGCGTTGGTGAGTGTGGCCATTAAATACATTGCAACAAGTGCAAATAAAATTATTGTTCCTGCTTTACTGGTCACATATTCACACAGCCTCTCTTCAAAAGGTTCTGCTCTTTATGTTTTTTTTTGTTTGTTTGTTTTATTCAGTCCAAATGTCCAGGATTTCTGTTGGGACAGCTCCTTTTTCTTGAATTTTGTATGTGTTCACAAGCTCTCTGGCAACATACTAAAATACACCTGACATGAAGGGAGAAAATGGTGAGAAGGCTCCATTTGTATTTGTTTGTATATTTAATTTTAAGCACAAATGGGCGTCTATGCTCTTGTTATTTATCATTTTAAAAATGTTTGCTTCAAGTGAATATATTTTGGACCACAAGTTTCACCCAATGTGATTATGAGGATTTAATACTAATATGTTTGGGAACCACTTGATTAGAGTTTGTGATGAACATTTGTCTATCAAACAAGCCAAACACAATTTGTTTCCTCATGAGTTAATTCAGGTTTTGGCTTCAGTTAACAAGTTTGACTCCTGCAGATCCACACGTCACACTGTTTCATGCCAAGTATGAATCATGGATACTAATTCATTAAAAGTCCATCATCATCACTCATTGTTTTATTTTCTTCATCAAAATACAATAGAGAATGGATTTCAAATAATAACTAGTCATTAAAATTAAATTGCTCTGCCTCACAATAGAAGATGATCACATTGAGTATCCTCTATTGCTTTCTAACTGTTTCATGCATTGACCTTTGAGAAAAAAATTCAATAGTTTCTCCATGACATAATCTATTAAAACATGTGACTCGTTAAGTTGAAATCAATTCCCTTAAAACTGGGTAATTTAAAAAGGTTATTTGAGCACGAGGTGAAACTCTGTGTCTCTGTATTGACACAGTTACTATCTTTCGGAGCAGCTTAAACACACTCTGCTGTGATTAAAAACATCAGCCAAATAGCCATTCTATGCATTAAATGCAGACTTTCATCAATGGTGAGATTAAATAAAAAGAAAAAACAACAAGTGAGTGCATAGTATTTACATAATACATTGACTGAAATGAAATAATGTTTCTTACCAGCTTCGGACAGTGGAATTATTAAATAAAGATGTTAAGAAGTTAAAAAAAAAAAATGTATATATATATATATATATATATATATATATACA